GGCATATCGAGAGTCCCAAGCTACTGCATTTTGTTGCAATTTGGCAAAAGGCTGTGGGACAGGGCTGGAAGAAACCACTGCTCTGCACCAATCCTACCAAGCTGCAGCAAGGACTCCAAACGTAGATTTTTCGGCACTTTGACAACAAATGCCTTCACACATGTACCCACCCACACTCGGAATGATTCAATCAAAACCCTATTTTCCTTACAAAGGAGTTTTGATAGAAAACTTTCTATTTGCCCTAGTCAATTTGGCTAAAGCATCAGTCAAAATGTTTTCTGGAATTGACACCGTTGGTGGCAGAGCAGGCAAACAAGCTCTGAGATAATCTGCCTCCAAAGGCAGGAACTGACCTTTCAGTTGCATTATTTTTCTCGTTTAAAATAAAGGTAAGTTTTAAAACAGTGTTACTTTTCTGCTGATGCTGAAGACGTGGAGCAAACGGGGCTGTGTCCCTGATACAGAATCTCATGGCCAATCTTAATATCGCTTAATTTTCAAATGAGGAATTTGGTAGTAAACAACCTTTCCGTTGTACACAAACATTTTTAATTTCATGCCCTGCTAATCATACATCTGTTAGAGTTCCTCTTCCATCCATTGCTGTAGCGATAATAAAAGAAAAAACTCGTGCTACGAATGTGTTTTGCCTAAAATGAAAACTGCATAATAATCGATTTCCTTCAGCAGGGTGAGGGAGAGCAGCAAGAAGCAGAACTCAGCCAACGAAGGTGACAGAGATACGGTTTCATGCCAACTGGTGGCCCCATTCCCCAACTGAGGGGTGGGTTACCACATTTCATAGGAGCGGTTGCTGTGGCGGCAGTGCCCGTTTGATTTTGAGCCTTTTCTGAACTGCTGATACATGACTTTCGCCTTTTCTAGATTCCTCCTATGCCCATAGCCATGTTGAGCCAACTCCAGGTCAGAAATGCTGCCCCTATGGGAGTTACACAATGAAAGAGCACTTGGTGTCCTAGGCAACACGACGCGAAGATATAGGGGCAGAAGCACAGGGCTCTGTTGTGTCTGCACAGCCTCCAGCTCTCCTACCAGCATCCCCTCCCAAGGGTGATTTCTAAAGCACAGTTATCTACATAAACTCCCCCTTATTGTCATCAAGAAACACAGTTGTTTGAGTAATCTCCACTACTGCACCCCACATGCATGTTACAGACATATATCACAATCAAAGCATCCCAACCTCCTGGGCACAGCAGGTTTGGGGCAGCCATTGGGAAACATGGTGAGGGGATCCAAATCTGCCTGTATCACCTGCAGGACTAGATGACCACAGTCAGCATCAGAACACGTACTGATACATCTTACCACCAATATGCAAAAGCTCTGGGTTTCTCAGACCTCTAATCAAAGTGCATTCAATCAAATAACCCTACCAGAATTAGCAGTGAAAAGGGATGGGAAGGAATAAAAAAGACTTTGTTGAGCAAAAGTACTCCGAGACACATTTGATGTAATAGTCATATGATTAACAAACTGTCATATCAAAGTTTTCTGCAAAGTAGGAACACTCTGACAGTTCATATTTTAAAAACTGACATTTTGATTCATTACTGTAAATAGCACTCTGTACTAAATATTGTGACAAGGCATACAGTGTATTTTTTGAGCTCTGTAACATTTAGGAAGTACTGGGATTTTGGAGAAGAAAAAAAAAGAAAAAAGGAAAAAAACCACGTGGAATATCAAATGCAGTTAAAGAAGAACTCCAAGAACACTTCTAGAGGAGAGGATCATTTCTTTTGAGATAACCTATGTCCCTACCACCATCTCAAGCACTGCTGGGAACTTGGCCCGCAAGGATCTTAATGTACTGTTTGCATAATAAAATAGGGAATTGTCTCACGGAACAAAAGAGCTATAAGAAAAGTGGCTACATTAAATAATGTAAAATTACTCAATAGCAAATCATCCCAAAGCTGGCATAAGGAAAAGAACGCTAAAAGGAGCTGCATTGCCACTCAGACTATTTGTGAGCACAGGATGACAAGCAAAACAAAGCTATGTTCAAATGACTGCCCAAATGCGCATCTTACTCATCCCATCAGTCTCTACAGGTTTTGCCCCTTCCTTCGTCCACATCTCTCGTGCCAGGTGAGAATATGGGCAAAAATGAGGTAAGGGGACACAGCTCATGGGTCCCTTCCCTGACTGTCCAGCACGACCAGCAACAGCATGCTGGGCGCATAAGCAATGCAAACCCTCTGCATTTCATCAAAAGTAAGACAGGTGATGGAAAAATGAAAAGCAAGCCCCAGCTAATGACAAATGGCCTGCCAGAGCAGCAGGAGAAAACCTGAAGCTGCCTAGCCCGTTTGCAAGATGCTCAGGTGTTATTAGGACTGCAGTCGAGGGCTTTAGAAAGAAAAATGGTTACCATTACCATTACTTACAGCTGGCTGCAAGTGGAGCTCTGGGCTCAGTCTACTGTGAAAGAATGGATATGCTGTCATAAACAGCAGAGAGCCCGGACTGGGCCATGGCAGAGAAGTCATGCGCACTGAAGATGGATCACAATGCTGCTTTAATGTGGAGCTACTCCAGCACAGCCTGCCTTTCCCCAGGAGCAGCCACATACCACTCATACGCTGGAAATCTTGTGGATGGGCATGCATGCCAGCAAGTGTGGTAGTAGTAGTGGTCTAGCCAGACATCCAAAGCATATTGGCACTGCTATAATTTGTCCATTCACCAATATGTTTTCCTAAAAACACCCATATGCTTTTCCTGTAGTTCCCATATGCTTTTGCAAAGAGAAACAAAAACATTTTGTTAGTTGCGAGCGATTGATCGCCACATATTTTGCAGAAGTCAAAAAGAAAAACAACAACAAAAGTGCAGTCAGCTGCTTCCCCCTCCCTTTCCTCTCTGTTCATGGAGGGAACTGTGAAGAGCAGTGAAAATTCAGCCCACAGCAAAACACACAGCTCATCTTTTTGCACTGCAAGATATTCTAGGAATTACAGGAGGAATCTTCATTAAAAACAAGCTATCAAAGATCTGGCAGCCGGTGGCATTCCAGACAGTAATTCAGTGTTGGGTGTTTGTCTGCTAGCTCAGGTCCTTGTGGAGGGAGCCCGGCACATTAGGTAACAGCCCACAGGAATCCAGGCTCCTGGAGCAGCACATTAACCCAGCCTGGGGAATGCTGCTGTAAGGAGGTTACAGCCTTTCTCATCCTAATTCGATGCCAAATCTATCGCTGAGCCCCCCCCGCCACGTGCTTCCATGCTGCCAATATAAACCCCAAGGCAGCGAGCGGGCAGGAGGCTGGGTTCAGCCCGGAGCAGGAGTGTGGGTGTACAAGTATGTGTGTGTGTCAGGACTGGAGCGTGTGGGAACCTGGCCTCTGTGCTCAGACTCATTAGGAAACGCGGTGGACCTGAGGCCAGCGTTCAAAGAGAGAAACATTTCTCTGGAGATAGATTAGCGTATGTTCTTCTTTACATAAATAAAATTAAAGAGAGAATCGTAACGCGGACAAATCAATTAACTTCTGAAACACCGAGGGCACCGAATGTAACAGCAGAGGAGATGGGAAGAGCTTCATTACAGAGACACTGAAACACTGCACAGCCTTTCTTCCTTGCAAAAGAAATTCAGTTGTTGCTGCATGAAGTTCTGATTTTAGCCTTGTTTTCCTCCGTTGCTACCTGAACATCACTGCTTCCTTACCGAAATGGCCACAGACATACCTACATATTGATACAACCCCAGGCAAGGAGAGAAGAGCTTAGGAACATCTTTGAAGACTGTGAAGATACCTGGGGGCAGATGCCCAAAGACTACTGCAGTGCTCGACACTGCAGCATAAGCCTTTTATAGGGTGGAGTTTGAGGCTGACCTTTTTTTTACAGGACACCTTTCTACCAGCATAAAGACATTCAGCGATGCAATCCGATGCTCTCAATTTGCTCAAGCAAATTTAACCAGAAATGTTCTTCCCAAAGTTAGGGTTTCCTACAGTGATCTAATCTCTCACAAAGCCTAATGAGAGGCTGGATGTAATAGGCCAAGAGCCCAATTTTCCACTGGAACAAAGCTGAAAAAACAGTCAAGAGAAGAGAAATCAATCTCTTCAACAGGGTACACAGTAAAAAAAAAAACAACACAATTTGTCAGACAGCCTGTTTGGCAAGATTCATTTTATGATATGTTTTTATTCCGAGAGGAGTTGTGAGCACCTGAATGTCTGACTTCACAATTCACAAATATATTAATGCCGTTCCTTAAGCTTTCAGTAGAGAGCAAACCTAATGCCATCTCATTTAGTCAACAGTTTATAAGGGTGGGTCTCTCCCTAGATTTCTTATTTACAGCAACACATTGGGACAGTCTATTAAACTTAGTGGGGAAAGCTGCCGCAGAGAGAGTGAGAAAAGCAGAAGTGCTGCCATTAATCTTCAATAACCCAGCAATTGGGAAGACCAGGCCTTGAACCGAATTCTGTTCTCTTGCTATTAATCTCCTGTCCTCTGCTTATTAATCCTTTGTCTGTCTTCTTCCTTCAACATTTATTAATGCCCCCAACTGTTCACAGTAAACAGGATGCTGAGATCTCATCTCTAGCTGGCCATAATTTACAAGAGAGAAAAAAAGTAACAACAACAAAAAAAAAAGCAAGAAGAGGGTGAAAAGAAGAAGGAAGGATGTGGATTGCTTATTGAAAGGGCAGAATGAAAGGACACTACCATTTAATGACACAGCAGGGTAAAGAAGAAGCACCACTGATCCGACCCGAAGGTTCACCCTCACTATGATTTAATCATCGCATCACAGGTCCAGACCTGGACCTAGAAACAGTACAACCACCTCGAGTCTCTTGGTACCACGGCCCCCACCACCACAGGCTCTGGAGTGTTGCCTGTCATTTGCTGAATGACCAGATCACACCTGGCAAATGCAGCCCCAGGGTCTTCACACCCTGCCTAAACTCAGCAGCTTGCAAAGGCCCCGAGATGTGACCCACTCCTCACCTGGAAGCACAGCAGCCCCGTCAGGCACCGAGACAGACGTACGGACAGCTTCTTCCAAGGGACCTCTGCAGATGGAAACAGAAAGGTCAGAATTAAACTTTGCAGAAAGTAAAGCAAGCTGGCAGTGACACCTCAGAAAGAAAACAACCCTAGAAGGGCCCGTAAGCCAGCCACCCTCCCTTGCATTGCGGGACTGCACATCACAACTATTTTTCCTCTGATACAACTCTGTGTCAGTCTGTCCCTGGTTTGATCCATATAAGGGCTTTTCACACATTAAAACAAATCAAGTGCCTGGTGAGAGGCACTGAGGTAAGGGCTCCAAGTAACACCATCTCTTTCAAAGCCTGGCCAGATGTGCTTCTGCCTGCTGTGCTTCAAGGGCCTCTTCTTCCTGCTACAGTCAATGTGACTCACCCACCGTGCTGCCTGTGCTGTGTGGGCACCCCTACAAGAGCTAAAGTGGAGGTGGGATGCACTAAACACACATCAGTTGTGGCCAAATCGTGGTTTCCTCTGGGTGCCTCCAAAGCAAAAGGGAAAAGTCAGGTTTTCCAGGTAACCACTCGCTGTGCTTAACCAGCAGCCTTTCATACTTCCAGTATCTTGATAGATACTCTTGTGTTTGCCATTTCCTTTCATCTCCATCCCAGATGGAAATATTGGCAACGGTCAGCAATGACCCAGTGGACCTCTGCCCCTCTCCCCATTGCCACAGGGAACCAGAGCAGCTCCTGCCTGCCCCCATGCTCCCAAACCTGCCCTGTCCTTGCAGCAGAGCCAGGTCTAGCTGGGAGCAGTTTCACTCTCCTGGGCAGCTGGACAAAGGGGAGCAAGGGATGAAGAACAGCAGCGGCTGCTTCAGACCCTCCTGAAGCCAATGGAAATCCACTGAGGAGCTGCTTCCTCTGACACTGCCTATTCCTTTCATATTTGCCATGACAAATAATTCATGTTAACATTTTTTCAAGCGCTGTAACCCCGTATCAAGTAACAGCAAAGAGACAGACAGGTGTCCTGACCACAGAGGCAGCATATGTGAACAGTTTGGAATTTACCATTATTATTTCATAAAGGGGGAAACAAATCCCACAGACTTTTCTGTGCATGATACATTTTCTGCTCTGTTTGATGTTGCTTTCAGGCTGAAGACTTCAAATAGCTAACCCTAACCTATGCCTCAAGCCTGCTTTAAACTAATGCCCCTTATGTGACCAGAAATGAATGCATGGTGAATCACTAACCCCACACACAGCGGGCTGATGAGAGGTAGCCCATGCCTCCCAAGCACTGCATGGCCATGAACACATTGAGATAATTCAGCCTGGTAATTCAGCACGACCAGTTCTGTGTTTCTGGAGCTCGAAAGCACAAGCTCCAAGCCAACTGCCCAGCCACACAAATTCAGAGCAGAGAAAAACTTAACTACTGGGGTTTTCTGCAAAGCACACACACATAACCTGCAGAGGCTGTACTTCCACTCTCTGCCTACCTTTGGGAGATGCTTAAAAGAAGCTGCATTTTAATTACTGGTCCAATCAAGGGAATCTAAACTTGACAGCAAGGGAAAGGGCTAACCCAAAGTTACAGATGTGGGTGTATATGCGGCCCGGCTCTTTGCTTCTTTGCTGACATTCCGGCTTTCAGAAATTAAATTAAAACCACACTTAACTTCAGAGAGACTGCAACTTGCATCTACAGTGCTGCAGAAACCTCAGTTGAGAGAACTCCACTGAAATCGATGGAGTCATTCAGATTTTCTCTGGTTGCAGACCTATAGGCCAATAAACATTAGCGTTCATCCAACCTCCAGCTAAATATTGCCTACTAGAAGACCATTATCTTTGTCATTGATTTGGATAACTTATTTAAAGCATGCTTGAAGACGCATTAGCATCTTTGGGTTTTGGTGGTTGTATTTGAAGGGTTAAGCCCCGGCAGGTATCAAACACTTGAAAACAGCATGTTAACAGTTTACAAACAGAGCTGGAGATATAAGTTTGTTTTCTGTTTTTCATTGGGAAATTGGTAAAATGAAAGAAGCAAAGAAAATATTTAAAAAAAAAAAAAAAAAAGAAAATGAGCTGTGTGCACCCACTGAAAAAAAAATCATCCAAGTTATTTGACAGATACTAAGTTAAGATGAAATACAGGGATGAGAAGAAGAAAATCACAGCAGGGAAACCCAACCCTCTCCTCCTTTTGAGCCTTACCACATAATGTCACGCCTGGCGCACCCCAGGGAAGGGCAGTTTCACTGGCAGCAGCAGCTGGGCTTAGGTTGGGCTCCCCTCCCTTAAGCCTTCCTGAACACCTGCAGTACAGCCTCCCAGCAGCAGATGGATGCTGCCAGCACGTCTTACAGCTCTCTCCAAACGTGGATGCTACCAACCATCACTACATCCCTACCTTGGGCATAAGATCTTTTTGTTTAAACCCGCTCACCAAAGTGAATTTTTTACCCTTGGGCACAAGGCCACCCTTGTGACCGAGCTCCTGGTCAGAGTGTTGTGTTGCTATAGCTTTGCTGAAGAAGGAGAATCCTGTTGGTTTGTTTGGCTTTCAGTTGCCCTGCCCATGTTCCACTGCCAAGCATAAGATACAAGCCAAGCTTCAGACAGGGATAGGTGGAAGAGGCATTGAAACATGCTGCCCAGGGAGTCACCATCCCTGGAGGTGTTCAAGAAAAGGACAGATGTCACAACGAGTGACATAGTCTAGAGTGGTCACTCACATGGGGAGATGGTTGGACTAGATGATCTTAGTGATCTTCCCAACATTAACGACTCTACAATTCTAGGAGTCTTGCCCAACAATCTAATGAAAAATTGTCAGGTTAAACTACAACTATGGGAAGGACAAAAATAAAAAGTATAAAATACAGTAATAGTAATATTTTGTTAAAATCAAACAGCAAATCAAAGACAGAACAAGGGATGTGGAGAAGCCGTCTCGGTCTCTGCTACTGCTTCTATGGCACAGAGCAGCTCCCAGCCACAACCAAGGCTCCGGTGCTATAAGCAAACCAGAGAAGTCTACCAACAACACACAGCACAGCACAGCACAGTCCTTCTGTACTGCTGGCTCCTGAACCCTGAGAGCAACTCATGCAGCGTGGCACACAGGGAGAGGAGCCCAGCAGAGCTGCTCCCACAGCAGCAGTGAGCGCATCCTTCCCTGTCTGTTGAGGACCCATCACAGCAGCTCCCTGTTTGACAACGCCTTATTTCCACCTTTCCCCACTGCTATGCAGCAGCTTCTCAGACAGACCAAAGAGAAAGTCAGGCACTGCTCAAGTAAGCACCTGGATCTACAAACAACAGATTAAATTCTCAAGCTACAAAACTATGTTTTAGCAAAAGTGCAATTGGACTCCGTGTACTTGTTACATTTCTAAATATACTCCGGTTGTCAAGACAACAAAAAGACTGATGGATCTCCAAAGCGTACTGTATCTATTTAATTGTCAGCATTTCAAACTGACTCGAGGAGGGGAAAAAAATGCTGCGTGATAAGTCTAATTGTCATGGTTACCACTGGCTAACCCCATAATAAAAATATATATATTCTAGCTGAATGTGCCAAGCCATGTGAGGAGCAGATGGGAGACATTCTCATTACTGCAACAGCCTCCACTGGAAAACTAAACTTGAGGAAGGATGCGAGAGACTTTACAGAGCTCTCAGACACAACAGACGCCGTGGGCTGCAGCTTCCCACCCGCCTGGCAGCAGCCGCTTGGGCTTTTCCTGAGCCCATGGGCTGAACCCACAGGGCTGGGGCTCCCTAACTCACCAGCATTCCTCTTTGGGGAGTCCCATCCCTCCCAGTAAGGTGCTTCAGATGCTTCTTTAAAGCTGATGACAAAATGTAACATGCAACTGCCTTGGATTCGCACTCCCACTCTCAGCAGCTCGCGCTGATCCCTTCAGGCAGCCTGCAAGCATTGCTCCAACTGTTAACAAGCAGAAGAACAGCCATGGCCAGCCTTGGAGAAGAGGACCAAGCAGAAAGCAGCAGCCAGAGGTCAGGCTGGTTGATTTCAGCCCCACAAGCTTTGCACCCCATTGGACAAGCATAATCCAGCACCACTACTCCTGTGCAGTCCCTCCTGAAAGAGATGCTTCATGAAAAACCCTCAGATGTTGTTTTTTACAGGGAAGACTTCCACAACGACATCTAAGGTATCTACCTGGATGTAAAATTCTTTTACAATCCAAACTTTACTTGCCTGATCAAACTCATCCAACCACACATTTTTCAATTGCATCTCTTCAATCTCAAGTCTAACTTGCAAGGGAAAGGCACAGCTTTCAAAGTCAGGCTCAAAGACAGGGCTCTGAGCACCTGATGGAGCTGTAGGTGCCCCTGTTCACTGCAGAGTTGGACCAGATGGCCTTAAAGATTCCCTTCCAACTCAAACAATTCCATGAGTCTAAGTTTCTGCCAGGCATAAAAGCAATGGAAACCAACTCACATTCACCTGACCAGTGCTGATGTCAATGAATTATCGGTTTCCAACTTGTCTGAAGCTTCCCCAACCTTTGTGTTTTTTTGACAGAAACTACACTGAAGTTGAATTATCCTGAAGAATTTGCTCCAAAATGCTTACTTCTCTAGAAGCTCTGTATCTCCACTGACAGTTTCATGGAAACTAGATGGCACTGCCTAAGTCCCATTTCTAGGAGTGATCTGATTTCAAAATACTACTCAAGAAAAACACCATCTTCCAAGCCTCTCAAGCAACGGGTCTGAGTTCGTGATATTCTCCTTGGAGCCTGCCCCTGCTCACTCTCAAGATGAACAATTTCTGAATTCCAAATATGAGCATCTTTGTGACAGATACCGAGCTTTCGTGCCTACCAATACCGTCACCATGCGGTTCACCATCACGTCCTGCTCCACAGAGCCGGAGATGGGTAGTGAAAATCAAAACAAAAGTAGCACAGAAGTGCTATTTCCGGGGTTTGTGCAAGAATTATTTCAAATACTACTGAAGTTTAGAGCTAAAAGGACTCCTGCACACAAAGAATCTTCATGCACAAAGGACTCAGAGGCAGCTGGTT